GGCTTTCCCCAAAAAAAACATTTTCTCTCAAATAGACAAAAAATGAGGGCAAAAGCATCAATACTGCACAAATCTAGGATGGAAAATGCTTTTAAATTTAGCAAGTTGAATGGTGAATTATGATAGCAGTTGAATAGTAAAGTTATGAAGTGGGTAAGAGGGAGAGAGAAATAGAAATTTCTATTTTTCAAGAAATTTAGTGGTGAGTGGAAAAAGCAAAAATGAAGAGACTTATGATATATCTAAGAGAATATAATTTTTTCTTAGTTTATTAATTTTAAAATAAGATAAACTGGAAGAAAGGACATAGATAAGCATTATTGGGACCATTTGGATAAGTAATAATGATAATGTTAAAATGCTGGTGGATATTCTAAAGTGCTTACAAGATATGTTAGAAATAGGATAGAGGACTTAAAAATCTTACTTAAAATAAAAAAGAAATACAAACCAGAATGACATTGCTATAGAAAATTAAGAAACAGCACTATGTATCAGGAAACAGAATGAGAGATACTAAATATGGAATCATGACTTTGACAACAATGCAAATGGCCTAGCTTTATCTCTCTGGAAAACAAAGTAAGTCTAGGTTTAAAAGAAAAACCAAAGTAGTGTGCCTAAGAGAAAAGAATGTTTAAAGAAGCTAAAAAAGAATAATTCAAATCGCTTTGAAAGATATGTGTATTTAATGTACATTTTAACAAAACAATGGCCACTTCTGTAAACACAGACACCAACAAAGCTGCTCAACAGGATAATGTCATTCAGTGCAGCTTTGAAGGCTTCTGATACCAAAAAACGAGAAAAATTAAAGGTAAAAAAACATAAAATGTTGTCTGCAGGTGATTATTGCACACGAGCTCAGGAAGCAAGCATGATTAAATAAACAGAGAATTCCCTGAGTGTCTGGAAACAAGATCTGCATCTATTCCAACAGTGTCCCTGCATTTATAACACTATTTATAATCTGGTAAAAGTCAAGTTGAAAAGAAGATAACCTCTGCATAAGACACGAAAACCTATCAAGATTAAAAAAAAAAAAAATTAAAACTGTGTGAGAACTTTGCAAAAAAAAAAAAAAGACACAAAAATACATACAAAGAGTGGTAGTAGTAGTGTAAGGTACAAAAGTATTGCAAAACACAACAATTATAATCATAAAGTTACTGGGACAAGGACATAGTGACAAAATCATGCTAAAATAGATTTTGCATAAAAGTTATCCTAATATATAAAAACTCTGTCACATCCACAATGACCAGAGGCTCTGCCTAATGCTCAGGCTGTGAGTGCACCAGGCTCTGGTGGGTGGGGACTTGTGGCAGCAGAGACAGGGAAAGGGGAGGCAGAGCTGGCACTCACACTCACTTACAACCGCACACATGCACAGACACACATAGCAGTCACCAGCTCACAGCCTTTTCTTTCTTTCTTTCCCTCCCTCCCAGCTCACTCTCAGAGCCTCTCTCAGAATGAGGAAACAAAACATAGTGGGCCTGAAGAGGCCTGGATGGAAGGGGTGGGGGGCAGAAGATGGAGCAGCCCCCACTGGCCCCACCCCCTCCCAGCTGGGAAAAAGGAAGAGGGAGACAGGGAGGCAGGGAGGTCTGGTGAACTGCTGAGAAAAACAGAGACAAAGCCTGGGCAAGATCAGGCCAGCAGGGGAGAGCAGTTAAGGGTGATCAGGCAGGCAGGCAGGTGAGCGATTAGGAGTCAGTGATCCAGATTGCAAGAGGGATGTCTGATTGGGCCCACGGGATCCCTGATTTGAGAGGGTGACGGCTAGGCTGAGGGACCCCCCAACCCCATGCGTGAATTTTGTGCACCAGACCACTAGTAATAAATATTTAACAATGGAAACATCATTCTATACCAGAACACAGACAATTCATTAAGAAGAAGAAAGGCACATTCAGCATCTCACACTGTGATCTTGTCAGCAAGAAAAAAGAAAATACATTTGTATCTTATACTGTTTTTCTTTAAGCTTGGGGTGCTGGGGAATCTCTGTGTTTTTCATTTTCTTTCTTTCTTCTTCTTTTTTCAAATCTAATCTCAGCAGAATATACCGTATTAACATTCATAGAACTCGAGAATCCTGGGGTAGGTATAATGGACAGTTAGGCTCCCTCATAACACATGAACCCTCTAACCACATCCCTGACAGGTGCTGAACCTCCCACTTGCTCCCGGCTTCAGAGAAATGTGTGGGTTCCCTGCCTTTCAGAAGCCCTTGGGAGAGGGGTTATGACAGGAACATCAGGCCTGGGTTCTGCCGTGCAGGGTCTAAGTGACACTGGAGACATACATGTTAACATCTGATTTTGAAATTCCTCATCTCTCTTCCCTTTCCAGTAAAGAAAGGATAAATAGGGAGCAAGTACGGAACTTTCACTGAAGCCACAGGAAAGCAAGTTCTCCAAACCCACTCTCAGCTGGAAGTTTGTATTCGCCATTATTTCATTAGATTTAGAAGGCAATCCAGCTCATTGCTCTTCTTCACCAGTAAAAAAAAAAAAAAAAAAAAAAAGATAGTAAGAGATGAAATGATTAAACTCATCATTCTCTAGAGAAAATACCCATAAAATCAGCGTCTTTCTATTTTTTGCACAATAATATTCTTGATTTGGCCTCTCTAATCTTCATTCTCTTATTATTCATTTTCCTATGAAATCAAATCAAATCATGATGTCACTAAAGGCAGAAGACAGTAGCTAAAATTCTAATTTACAGTGGAAATGACAGGAACATATTTCAGGAAGGCATATAAAAAGCAAACTTTATTTAAAGGCAAGATTTAAATAATTTAAGTTTTAAATTATTCATTAGCAACCAACTTTGAGAGATCCATCAATTCTCTCTCAGATGGAAGCTGGCATATTTTTCGTTAATTTATGTCAGCTGATGAAACACATTGCTCTCTAATGAAAGAATTTCCCTCTGTTTTTCAATGAAACGTTCAAAATCCCAATCATAACTTTTTAGAGAGCACACCCACTTGAAAGTTTTGTACTCAGAGTCCAAGTTTTGAGTGTTTATGGATCTATCTGCCCCTTTTCAAAGAGTAGAATCTGCTGTGGACATTTGTCTCTTTGTTCTGACCCACCCTATGGAACATTCACTCCTAAATAACCCCACTTCCTCTTACATTTCCCCCCTCAACTTGTTAATAAAATTTACTGGCAAAGAATAAAAGAGAAATTATGTTAAGTGCTAAACTCATCAATGTCAAAATTTAGCACTGCTTTAAAGATCCATACCTTACAGACTGTCATTGCAGCTGTACCCATGAGCCAATCATCTTAATAAAGGCTTATTTCAATGTATGCTCTTAGCAGATCTGGATCAAGTTAACAGACCTGATGATTCCAAGCTTGTATTTTATCTCTGACATAAAAATTTTGTCATTCATAACATATACTCTCAAAATTCTGTTTCTATACTCCCTACTGGAAGGATATCAATCACTTCCAAGACAACAAGCCTTAAAGGTCATAAAAATACTTTAGCCAAATTTATAGTTGAAACTTCTGAAGAGAGGAATACAGGCCTAGGAGAATAAGGAGGTGCACAGTTTTGCTCTTCATCTTTGTTTTATTCTTTGCAGATTTAACATGACCAGTGTTACTTTAGTGCAATAGTTCTCAACCTTTCTAATGCTGTGACCCTTTAATACAGTTCTTCATGTTGTGAAGAACTGTATAAAATAATTTTCGTTGCTACCTCATAACTGTAATTTTGCTACTGTTAATGAATCATAATGTAAATATCTGTGTTTTCCAATGGTCTTAGGCAACTCTGCTGGTTGAGACCCACAGGTTGAGAACCACTATCCGAGTCGCCTAAGAAAAATAATAACTTAATAGATAGCCCTTGTCACCAAACAATTCACAGTCTAGTTTCAGGATGATGACCCTGGAAAATAGATCCTTGAGTTACTTAGTGTGGCAATGAGCTCTCAGGCAGCTAGTGAGGCGGATGCTAGGGCTAAGACATTGGCAAGGCACCATCACCTGGCACCCTGCCTCATGCTAAGCCTATTTGTGTTCCACTCCAATGTACTTTTATTTCTCTAATGAATGGATTATGTAATATTAAAATGAATGGTAGTAATTTTACCCAAATTGAGGCTGAAACAAATTATTTTTGCTTAGAATCCATCCTACTCCTGAAGGCAGCACTTTTAAGGGCACTGCTGTTTGTCATGTGACTGTAGAAGAAGCAAAGATGGCATGTGGCGAAGGGTGGGCTGGAAGTGACACTCAGAACCCTTGGGTGTTAATTTGGTTTGTGAGATGCTTAATCTGGTCTGTGGAGGCACCAGTCCTCCTGGTCTCAGGGCCTGTTCCTTTGTATGAAGGACACAGATTGCCACTCGTCAATTTTTATTTGTCTCCTTATATATACCAGATCATATATTATAGATTTTATTAAGATAAATTTTCATTCCTACTTATTTACTTGTTGGTCCAAAAAAAGTACAAGCATTCATTATAATTCTAGGAATATATTTCCTGTAGCCCTAATAAATAAAGTACTACATTCGAGGCACCAGATCCTGAGAGTTGACTCCCAACATTGAAAATAAAATACACTCGTGGTATAAAATTATATATTATTAAACATCTTTAATGTAAGTCTTATTTTTCTTCAGAATATCCCTTTTCGCTTTCTTCCTTTTTAAAAAAATATATTTTTATTGATTTCAAAGAGGGAGGGAGAGGGAGAAAGAGATAGAAATATCAATGATAAGAGATAATCATTGATCAGCTGTCTCCTGCACACCCCCTACTTGGGACTGAGCCAGCGACCTGGGCATGTGCCCGTGACTGGAATCTGCTCTTGGTTTTATAACTCTGCTCAGTGCACAACTGGGCACAGGCTACTCGGGTTCTTTCTGATGCCTGTGAATGAATGAACTGCATATTTGATATTAACAGTAACAACATCATCTTAAATACCAAAAAAACGTGGAATTAAGATTGAAAGCATTTTACCTGCTGGCGCTTTTCAAACTCCAATTTGATCCGGGACTTGATGCAATTGCACGTGTCCTGATATGTTTGCTGCAGAGCGAGTTCCATGAGGTGCTTGTGGTATGCTCCCGCCAGATTCCCACAGATAAAGATGATCACGTTGGCCAGGATCTAATGACACAGAAAGAATCATTCAATTGGGGAGGGGGAGGGTGCTTAACTCTTGGATACAGCAATAACAACAAAATGCACATTAGCAATAGTATTCCAAGAGATGTCTCTGTGGGAAGTTAATTTCATTTCTATGTCCAAAGGAACATTTTTATTTACTTAACAGGAACAGCTATTGCCTTTAGGGATTCTATCCCCTTCTTGGATCCATGTCCTTTGATAGTTGACTTGGCAGTCCCTCCCTTATCTGTGAGCTCAGTCACGTAATTTGCTGACGCTAAAAGTAATGTGGTTGGAGTAACTACTCTGCCCTGACAGCTCCATGGTTATTGGGGGGCCGGGGGAGAAGCTAACACCTATATTAAAATAAAATATTTTAATTCACTCTTTAATGGCCAGTGACTTATTATGGGCCCTCAGTAGCTTTGTGCTTATTGAGCACTGCGTAACATCATAAGACTTAGATTCCAATTTGACATCACCACTCACATTTCTCATTCTTGTCCTGATTTCTGCATGTACTGGTTTTTGTCACAACTGCCCAAAACACAGCTTTTGAACAAAAGGAATGCAGTTCTGATGTTGAAATCATGAACTACCTTGAGCTCGTGGTTTATGATGTCTGGCAGATGTCAAGTGCTGCTGTGTTTCCCTTGAGCATTTATAACATGATGAGGCACCCTGGGTGCCCTGGCACACAGTTTGGAAACCATATCACAAATGAAGTACAATTTCAACAAAGTAAATAAATATATTAATTAATTAAACATAATAGAAAGCTATTCAAATTATAATGGGCACACTACCTATTTTCACCTTTGTAAACTCAGAGAAGGTAGGTTTGATTGGATAAAAAAATATAAGAGACTTGCAGCTTCCACAGAGGTGTTTGTTTCTGCAAAGTAAACCTGATCTGAAAGGAGAATTGTGCAGATTTTTAGAAGATACATCTCAGAGTAGCTATGGGTTTAACCTTCTGGGTTAAAGTCCTGCCTGGGTCATCTTCCTGAGAGACAAGAAGCAGCAATCTAATATACCACATGAGTTCAGTTCCATTCAAGGTCTCGTCCCTATCCCCCCTCCCTCCACTGCCTCAAATGGCCTATACATTTTATCTCATGAGAGGTAAAATGTCTCATGAAATGATAATTCACAAAGGCTTCCAGATTGGGCTTCACACACACTTTTTCAGCCTATAAATAAAATAAGATACATAGTTCCAGCCCTCATCTGGGACCATCTTAATCATATTTTAAAACCCTCTAGTGATTCCAAGTCTAAATGTTATTTCTGCAATGCATTAACATGCTTCCTGATGGTGTGAAGACATATTTTACTCCAGGAATGAAACAAATCCCTCCAAGGCTACTAGAATTCCAGAGAACATGTATAAGAAATTAAAAATACTCACGTCCATTTTCCAATGGACATATTACATAATAAACCTGTCCACTAAAAAAAAAAATTGAGAGCGAAATTATTAAATGAGCAATCCAGAGTACTAATTTTTAAGGAGCATAATAAAGAGTTGAAATCCTACTCGACAATTAATGAAGTTCTTTTTTATTTTGTATTATATGTAAATCAGGCTTAACCAATTAGAGCAATATTTACTCTCTCACTGTGCATTTTAACTCTTTGAGGAACAGTCTGTCTTTATGATTTAACAAGACCATGTGAGATATGAAGTTAATAGAAGCAGCTGAAAAGTTGATTGAATATCTAAAAGAGAAAGTAGTCAGAGAAATTATCTTTATACTAGAAAAAAAAGGCATGCAGGATGCAGAGCTTCCCATAGTCCTGGGTTCTGATGGTTGTGTTTCACTGAGCAGAGTATTTAAAATGCTGGGCTTGCTACGGGGAATAGTTTAACATGGTCAGTGGGGATAAAAAGGAGACATATGTACTATTATCTGTAATACTTCAAACAATAAAATAAAATTAAAAAAAACTCTATAGGCAATCACTGCACTGAAAGATGCTGACGGGGAAAATATGCCAGGCATCAGAACCACATGGGAGAACTGGAATGGAGGAAACAGATTTTAGAAGACGCATTTAGAAATTGTTTTTTGTAGTTGAAATTTGACCACCAAATTCCACCAATTGCGAGAAGAACACTTAGCTTCCATGCATAACAAAACCACAGAGTCCTGGCCCATGACCTTGATTAATCAGTTGTCACCAGGCAACAGGGATTCCAGGCTCTAGTTCATTTCTGACAACTTCTATGTCATCAATCTCTCCCAGCAGCAGGTAAGCCAGCTCCTAACCAAGAAGTATCCTTCCTTAACACATACAATCTTTCCTTCTTCTCCACTTCTCATTTTCTCTTTATAGCCAACCCTCAAAGTTTGTCTGCTTAAGCTCTTTCTACTTTCTTTCTTTCTTTTTTTTTATCTCTGACTGTCCATTTCCCATTTCAAATGATGTAGCAATCACAAGATACCACCTCTCCTCTTGTCAAGGTCACTTATCACCTTAAATTTTGCCAAACCCAACAACTTCTTTGTGCCCTCACTACCACGGCTCCTGAGCAACACTCTCAGCAGCAGCTGGTCCCTTCTCTGGCTGAGAATACTGACCTCTCTTGGGAACCTAAGCTCTGCTTTCCCTAGGGTCTGCCTAGGTGACTCCACCTTCTGTGACTTAAATGTTTTACTCTCCAGGTTTCTGTGTATGCCCACTTCCCTTTAAACCCCCCTAATTTCTTTCATACAGAGTCATCTGTTCACCTGGCTTTTCCAAAACCATCTAAATAGCATAAATTCCTAAAGGTAGACCTTTAACCCAGATCCTCCTTCTGATGTCTGGACTGAGAGGCGCTGGCATCCCCACTTTAAAGTCTCACAGATTTATCTTACATTGAACTCTTTGTACCTCCCACCCCTATCTGCATATTCAACTTGATCTCATGTCCTACCTCAAGCTCCATTCCTCCCTTTCGGGGTTTCATCTCTCCAGACTCAAGGCCATTGCCTACCTGGCCCATCTGGTTGGTGCATTCCTCTAGTGGAATTATACTTTAGGCTTTTGAAAATTGATGTCTTAAACAATGCATTCTCAATGTAGGCCATCTCACTACCAAGTGGGCAAACATTGGCTCTTGGGGAGAGAAAAAAAATGTGCTAAATATATAAAACACAGATATGCATACATCATATAAATAAATATGCAATAGAATTTCAGGGGGGTGAGTTAGAGAAAAAGTATCTAAAAGAGGTTTAGGGGATTGTAATGGAGATAGGTGGGGAAACATTGCTTTAGACATTTAGTTCCCCTGACACCTGTCCTATCTCCATGCTCATGGGTAACTTTCAGATAGAATAGATTTTTGCTTCAAAGAGAAAAGGCAGGAGGTAGTTTCATACAGCTATCTGGCCTACCTGATTCTTCATGATAAATTAAGCAGTTAGCATTCTGGGTTTAAATATCATTCTTCTATGCTTTTGTTAGAGCCAGTAGCCTTTCAAGTCTGAACAAGTTTGGATTACTAACAACACACTTCACAGCTTCCCTGACTGAGGGCCACTCCCTTTGGAGTGAACACTCCCAGGTGGACAGACACTACCTGTGTGGACAGGCTTCCCCAGGAGACAGGTCTTCTGTCTGATTACATCATTTTTTAAATTAAGAGCAATTTATTTATAACTCCACTAGCCACAGATTTAAATATACCTTTCACAACCTGCTTATCTTTCCTATTTGGTAATAAACAAATTATATCCAATTCTGCACATGACCTTTGCCATCGTTTAGAATTATAATGAATCTAATGAAAACATCACCATAATATGAAAATGTAAATTTCATGCACACACTGTGCTTTATTTAGAGAACCAAAGACTTAGTTAGCTTTTAAAAGCATGCTGTCAACTGTAGATGCCTTACAAATACATCTTCTGATTTACTTTTAGCAATTGGAAAGATAAAGCTTCACAAGGGCTCACTGTACCATGGTTCTGAAACAGGCTATGCATTACAATCACTTAGAAGTTTAAAAAATATGTTCCCACAGCCCATTCCTGGAGAGACAGTAGGGTATTATTATTATTTTTTTTTAACATAAACCTCCCCAAGTGAATACTCTGTGTACTACCATTGAAAAAACTAACTCAGACTTTTTTTTTTTTTTTTTAACATAAACCTCCCCAAGTGAATACATTATGTACTAAACTAACTAAACTTCAATACTGCCAGAATAATTAAAGAATTTGGATTAGGAAAAGAACTGAGGATTTAATAACAGAAGGAATTATGGATAATGTTAAGGAGGATGAGCTTCTCCAAAGGAGGTGGGCCTTGCTATTCAAACTAACAATGTGAGGTATGGTATAATTCTTTTAATCCATAAGAAAGTCAGGCTTCCACTCTTTTAGGAGGGCTCTTAGACTGATTCGGGGAGGGAGGTAAGGCTGTAGAAAGAAAACTAGAAAATTAACTTGGATAAAGCTGAGACTAAGTGATCTGATGGGGGGAAAGAGACAGAATGAGATTATTAAGCGATGAGCAAGGTCAATCTCACTTACTCCCATCTAAATAGTCAAAGGGAATCTCAGACAACCTCAATAACAGATGAATCAAGACCAGAGGTAGGGATTGAAGACTATGCACATAGGGTAGCATCACTTCTAGGAAGGGCAAGTTCCCCTGTAACTCCTAAAAGAATACTCTCAAATGCACATTCAGAGTGATGGGGCTTTTACCTATCATGTGAGCATATGTATAATTTTGAAAGCAAATAGCAAACATTCAGTAGTTTCTAAGACAACTGGAAAACAGAAATCAGCAAGTTGAAACTAGTTAATAAATGAACATCCTAAAGTTAGAATTCAATCTTTTGTTCCTTTGTTAGAGAAAATCGGCATACTAAATCCGATAGCATTTAGATGAACAAACCTGATGAAGTTTGGATAATATTAAGGGATGGATAATACTTCAGAGTTTACAGATGTAGCCTTCGTTAATAAAAAAAAAATCTTCACATTTACATGATCATT